CTTTTTCCGATTAACCGCGATAGATGGTTCGGTCGACTGCGAGACCCTGTAGGCGTTTTTTAGGTTTCTGTCGTTTATTCGGTCGATCGCGACTGGTTCGACGGTCGACCGCTAGTCAAGCTGGTAGGTTTCTAATCTGTTTTGAATTCTGTTTGGGCTGGTTCATATATATATCTATATGTTTTCTAGGGTTAATAAGAATGTGAAAAATCATCAGAAAGAGAAAAAAAGGAGAGAGAATCTCAGAGTGTTTGTATTCATTGTTTGAGTGTTTGTATTCATTCTTTAATTAATCAAAGAGATTGTGTGGTGTGGTTCCCGAAGACGTAGACACGTTGCCGAACCTTGTTAAATTCATGTGTTATCTCTTGTTCTTATTTTTGTAAGTTTTTATCTTTGATTTATGGTGAATTTCTTTCTTGCTTAACTTTCTAACACAGTCCGGAAGGGCAATGGTTCAATTTGATTGTTTCGAATCCCCAACACGTATAATCCACTCCTTCCGGCTGTTGGAGCCCCTTCACGACTAATCTGGCCTTATATCTCTTCCTTCCATCACTCTCCTGTTTGACCCGGTAGACCCACTTGTCATGTAAGGGTTTCTTCTGTGTAAGTAGCGGTGCTAACTCTCATGTCTCGTTAGAGTGGAGAGAATCCATCTCGTCTTGCATTGCATGCTCCCACTGTTGAGATTCGCTGACTTGCATAGCCTCCTCATAGCATTCTAGTTCTCCACTATCTGTCAAAAGTAGGTAGTCTAGTGACGAGAGATACATGTGATTTGGTTTGGATACCTTGGATGACCTCCTAAGCTCATCGTCCTGAGTAGTTAGTTCTGTACCTGGAGTCTCCTCCGTTCTTTGGTCAGAATTAGACATTGTCTCCCCAATCTAGAAGTTCCTTCAAATTCATGTACTCAGATGCGCCCGCATCTATAGTGTTGCTCCTACTGCTTTGGTCAGGCTTGGCATTGTTCCTGTCCTTATACATCACCTTATTGAATATGACATCTCGACTCCTGATGATTTTCCTGTTCTTCTCATCCCAAAGACGATACCCGAACTTATTAATACCGTACCCAATGAATGTACACTTCAGTGACTTAGCTTCCAGCTTGTCTCTGTCATGATCACTGATGTGGACATATGCCACATAACCAAAGACTCTCAAGTGTGAGTGATTAACCTTCTTGTCACTCCAAACCTCTTCCGGAATCCCAAAGTTCATGGAACTGATGGTCCATGATTTATCAGGTATGCTGTGGTATGCACCGCATCCGCCCAAAAAGTTTTTGGTAGACTTGCATGTAGACGCATGCTCCTCGTACGCTCTGTCAGCATTCTGTTCATTCTATCTGCTACACCGTTCTATTGCGGCGTCCCTGGAGTGGTCCTCTCCAAACAATCATGTTCAGAGCACATAACTTTTTGAACTCCTTCAGTTCATATTCTCCATTGTTTTCTGATCTCAGATACTTTACTTTCAGATCTGTCTCGTTCTTCATCATGGTTTTTCACTTTTTAAAGATGTTGAACACCTCTGATTTGTGCTTCATGAAGTATACCCACACATTCCTCGAGTGATCGTCGATAAAAGTGACGTAGTATGCCGAACCGCCAACAGAAGACATGCTAGCTAGACCCCATACATCTGTATGAACAAGTTCTAGCTTGTGAGCTTTTAGGTGGTCTTCCACTATTCTGGAAACTAACTCTCTTCTGTTTCCCAAAGATGCAGTCTTCGTAAACACCGACGTCCACGAAATCGATGCCGGTTAGCTTCCCTTCTGAGTGAAGAATCTTCATGCCCTTCTCACTCATATGTCCTAGCCTATTATGCCACAGATCTGCACTCTCCTTACGTGCTGTAATTGCGAGGGTGCCACTCGCATGTGAAGTTAGGTAGAGGGTATCAGTATTGTTGTCTCAGGCAACCGCCATTGTACCGTTGAAGATTTTCCACGAATCTACGGTGAATATTGTAACATAGTCTTCTGCTCCAAGCTGGCCAACCGAAATAAGATTCTTCTTCAGCTTCGGTACATGTATGACATTCTTCAGATATCACTTAGAGCCATTCAACTGTATTTGCACATCACCTCTTCTAACAACACTACAGGGTTCATTGTCCTCCAAATATACTTTCCCAAAGTCCCCTACTACATAGTTCTGAAATAGCTTTCTATTAGCAGTGACGTGGAAAGGTGCTCCCGAATCAATGACCCATGAATCGGAATCGCTATCCATAGCGAGAATTAATGCATCTTGCACAATATGAGCCTCCTGCTTATTTTTATCCTTATTCGGTGCTTTACAGGTTGAAGACATGTGGCCCTCTTAGTCACAGTTCCAACATTTTCCTTTGATAGGTCTCACCTTCGAGTTAGACCTCTTGTTCTTCGACTTCGATCGATTCCTGTTTTGGTTCCTCCTATTATGACTTTTGCATCTTTGCTTGAGACGTAGGGCTGAACCTGAACCTTCTGATTTATTCGATTTTCTTTTAACCTCCTCGGATAGAATCATACTCATAACCTCACTCAGTTTTAACTTCTCCTTTCTCGTCGAGTTGCTGATTGCGGTCACCCAACCTGCCCAACTATCTGGTAATTACGATAGTATTAATAGGGCTTACACTTTGTCATCAAACGTGATGTCAACTGAGATGAGTTGATCAACAATCGTGTTGAACTCGCTGAGATTCATCATGAAGGAACATTCTTATGCCATCTTGAGGTTGAATAGTGTCTTGACGAGATGCACCTTATTTACAGCTGACAGTTGCTCGTACATCATTACGAACGCTTCCATAAGTCTCACCGTCGTCTTCTCCTTTAAAATATTATGTGGTAGATTTTGCGAGCGACAATCGGATCTGCCCCAAGGCCTTTTGATCCAATATTTTTCAGTCCTCGTCGGATTCCTCTTCCTTCTTTCCTTTTGCTTTACCCATCAACGGATGGTAAATATCCTTGTGATACAGATAGTCCTCCATCTGTGACTTCGAGTAGGTGAAATCTGATCCGTCAAAATTTTTAATTTTAGATTTACCTTCTTCTGCCATTTCTTATACACACAGATCCGAACAATGGTTCTGATACCAATTATTGGAGATTTTAAGCTATTCGACCACCTGTCAAATATAAACCCTCGTGCGGAATTTGTCTTACCGGATCTTGTGTTAAGATAATAGAAAGAAGAAATCACAGCAAATTAAAAAATTACAAGAAAATGAGAACACCGAGTTTTAACGAGGTTCGATAACTTGCCTACGTCCTCGGGAGCCACACAAATAATTTTCTTTAATATTAAAGAAGATTACAAGCTTGCAAAGAGAGGATCTCAAACTTGAGATCTCTCAAAAGAAAGAAACACAAACTCTCTGTTCCTCTAAAGGGGTGTGAGATTTTCCAACTAGAAAATCTCTTCTCAAAATAGCTACAGTAGATCACTACAGGAATCAACGAGATTTTCCTCTTAAATCTCGTTCCTCAAAATCGCTGGAGAAGACGCTCTCAAAAGCCGTCGCCAAGCTCTTAAAGCAAAAAAGCGCCTCTGAGTTTCTTCTCACCAATTTCTCATGCACATGGTTCCCCTTTTATAGGGAAACCCTAGCCAGGCTGTCATGAGCTGGATCTCGACCTCGCCTGCGTGAGAGTCCCGCTCGAGCTAGCCTGACCCAATCCCAAATCGAGCTCGCATACGGACCGCTAGAAGCTCGCTTGCAGAACACAGATCGCACTCAGTAGCCATGTGTCGACGCCGCCACGAAGCTCGCCAGACAGCGCCTTCCTCGAGCTCGCCTGATAGCGTCAACTTCGAGTGGACCTCGCTTGCAGATTTCCGACCTTGTCTGAAGGTCACCCCACTTGGAGGAGGTCGCCTGCAGCTCGCCCCACCTGGAAGAGCTCGTCTGCAGCGCCACGAGCTCATTCTCTTCTCATGGGTTGACCCGCAAACCTTGACATCATAGTTGCGCTACGGATGTTTGGGCTACACCTAATACCAACAATTACCAACATGGCCGATATATCGGCCTAAATTACCTTTGTAATGCTTTCTGAAAAGTGATATGGTCTCAATAACCTTTACTGTTTTTGACAATTTTGAGCAACATATCGTTATTTTCGCCATATCTCTGGTGAGTGGTGACATTTCAACCTAAAAAGATCAAGCAAAATTCTTCAATATCGATTAGGACTTTATGTGTTTTCCTATATTGGTCTGGATTCATGGATCAATTGAGGTCAAAACCTAAACAAATATTTCTGTGTAAATAACTGCAAAGAAGAACTAGGGGTCAGTTGAGACCGAAAAGTTTTGCAAAAGATAAGCATCTTTCTCCATAGCTTCACTCTTTGGTGCTTCATGTATGAACATTTATGATTTGTTTAAACACATTATCTGATCTGACACCCTAGTATCTATTAAATAATCCAATATCTGTCGTCCAATATGGAATTATTCGATACGACACGTCCCCGACATCAGACATTTAGAACACTACATCAAATACATGCAGAACCAACAAATTGCAAATTTTGTTGCAATAATTATGATGAACTCCACCCTGTATCATTATTATTGACTCTCAAGTGAACTTCTGTTTGCATACACAATAAATAAAAAAAATCACCTTCCTTTTATTAATTATTAAGCTGCATTATAGTTTACTAGATATAAAGTTTCCTGTTTATCCATTTTGGTCAGCAATACTTCTTCAAAACCAGCACCATTACACACTAGTCGTTAACTCTCGTGTTACCTTGATATACATTTTTAGTTGACAACCCAATATCATAAGACTTAAAAAAAAACCAATATCTTAAGACTTTGGATAAAGTGGACCCAACACTAGACTAATAATAGAATATTGTTTACTTTATAACAGCAATTTTTTCCCTCATGATATAGGAGATAAAAGATGGATGGATTATCTGGAATATAATTGCAAAGAGAAGGCCTACATTTTTGTGATTTGACCATAAAGTGATCATGCAGGTTTTATCCAGGAACAGCCGATGCCTTGAGATTTGCAAGCTCGCAAGTATATATCGTCACTACAAAACAGGTATACTTACATGATTCTGTACCATAGTTTTATTCTCCAGCCTGTCTGAGCATATGGTTTATCGTCTATGTGCGCTCCAGAGTGCTTCATCATCTGAGATGGTCACTATTTTCTTCCTTAAAAATAGGCAGTCAAGGAGATATCGTGCATTGTCTGAGTTACCTGAGGACAGGCTCTGAAATAGCTGGATGGATGGCTCGTACAAACAGACTCAAATGAAGGAGAAAAAAATGTTGTTATTAATACATTTTGATTCCAAGCATGAGAAATTTTCCTTAGTATGTCTATATTACTTTCCTCTCATATGCTTGGGGATTCTTTCCCTCATCTAGGTCTCTTTCTTATCTCTCTCCACCACAAGTGAACCATTAACTGAAAGCGTCCTGTGCATCCTGTAGAAAATCTCTATGGCAAGATCACCTCCCTATACTCTTCAGTGGCCATCACCTTCACCCTCCTCTCTGAAGCCATCAAATCATTGGAACTCCACAAATTCCTCGTCATCGAAGTCCTCACCATTTAATATATCAAACCCAGCTCACGTGATGAAAATTCATTGTAGCCTAGAAATATAGACGAGTATATCCCTAATGTTTATCTTATCTTCTTCGCCATCAAAGAAGATGCATGTAAAAGTGGCTCCTGAGAGGCCTTGGAATTATAGGAAATATTTCATTGCATTCTAACATTGTAGTGCATCTTCATCATCTACACGTTTGAGTAGTTCTAGGCTTCTAGCCCACATCCATGACCTTCATATGGAATTAATCACAGGGGATGGTTTAGTTGTTGCCACCATCAGATGCCTGTGCCTAAAGAGCACTGGAGACGAGAACTCTGTTAAACCAAAGTAAATCTGGAGATATAAACCTATGGCTGGATCCGTTGAGTTTCTCTCTCCCAAGTGATGTAGATTGTTAGAGTCCCTAACCATTACATTACAACTCCGAAGTTGTAATGAAAGTTGAAGGCTATATTTTTATATTCTAACATGCCCCCACAGGTTGAGCACCCTTTTTATAAGTCGATACCTGAATTCACACAGTGGTCAATTTGTTAAAAATTCGTTTTAAATTAATGGCCGGTGGGATTTGAACCTATATTGCTTTGATACCAGCTTAAATTAAGTCCCTATAACCATTACACCACTACTCTGAAGTTGCAATGAGAGTTGAGGGTTATATTTTTGTATTTTTTACACAGATTACCAGCATGAACTATGTTATCAGAAACTGAACAGACTTTTTCATGTAGGACGCTTAACAGAAAATTTCATGGAGGATTCGGACAATCACGATCTAAATACAAATTTATATGTATTATTGATTTCTGCAAAGAAACAATCATATATTTCAACCCCGAAAGCGGATTCTGACATATTATATATGTAAATCGCCTATCTCGACCAGACGGAGCCAACTAGATTATCAGATTTTTAAAATCTTATCAGTAATACCTAGTTTTGGCTGAAATTCAAAAATAATAAATTTTTCGTTTATTTTTAGTAATAAAGTTGGAGTCTATTTAGATTAGGAAATTTCAATATTAGAGTCAAATTAGATTAGGAAACAAATTCAATTTTGATTAATGATTTGTTTCATCTATTATAGGGAGACTTTTTAGGATATAATTTGATACTTTCTATTTCTTTGTAATTCTAGTCTTACTAGGAGTCTTATTTATTTTTCTATTTAAGAAGAGTCATATAACCCAAAAGAATAATGACTTTACATCATAAAAATTTTATTTTAATATTTTCTTCGTGGATTCGAAGTTCTTCGTGGATTCGAAGTTCTTCGTGGATTCAGAGATCGTTCTTTGTGTATTCAGAGACACCCCTTGGTGGATTCCGAGATCGTTTTTTGTGTATTCAGAGAACACCCCTTGGTGGATTCCGAGGTTATCACTTTCGCGCTGCGTTAATTGGTATCAGATCAATTAACGTATCGCGGAAGTGATAACATCGAAATCCACTAAGGGGTGTTCTCTGCATCTACAAAGAACGATCTCCAAATCTGTGAAAAAAATATTAAAATATTAAAATTTGATTGATGTAAAGTTATTATTCTTTCGGGTTACATGACTCTTCTTAAATAGAAAAATAAATAAGTCTCCCATTGTTGAAAGAAGCTCGACCCCGAGCTTATATTTGTTAAAATAGTAGCTTCATTATAAATAATTTTCTTCTCTACAACGTTCAACTTCTGCTTTGTATTTAGCGTTGATTTTCTCCATTTATTCTTTTACCTCCTCTGCTAGGACTTCTTCTGTATCAAACTTGTGTATGAATCTTTCCCATGACATGTGTATGTAATTAGCACCATGTGGCTCTGTAGTTAGGTATGAAAAACTCTTCCAAATATTTTCCCTGTTGCTTCCCATATTCTAGTGTCGACGGTGTCATCTCATCGTTGTTGAAGTTATTGATAATCATTGCTTCCAAAAAAGAACTTTCTAATCTTAATAGTAAGACTAGAATTACAAAGAAATAGAAAGTATCAAATTCTATCCTAAAAAGACTTCCTATAATAGAGGAAACAAATCATGAATCAAAATTGAATTTGTTTCCTAATCTAATTTAACTCTAATATTGAATTTATTTCCTAATCTAAATAGACTCCAACTTTATTACTAAAAATAAACTAAAAGCTGATTATTTTCGAATTTCAGCCAAAACTGGGTATTACTGATAAGATTTTAAAATCTGATAATCTAGTTGGTTCCGTCTCGTCGAGATAGACGATTTACATATATAATATGTCATAATCCGCCTTCTGGGTTGGAAGATATGATTGTTTCTTTGCAGAAGTCAATAATACGTATAAATCTGTATTTAGCTCGTGATTGTCCGAATCCTCCATGAAATTGTCTGTTAAGTGTCCTACATCACTTTTGTTTGTAGCTGCATTGAACATGATAAGAAACCTGCACACAAGTTGAATAACTTGATGAAACTATTCAGGATGAAATACAATGACGAGTATCAATATGTTTCTTAATACTCTTTGCTACTGTCGCTTCTTCAAGGAGTTGAAAACCCTACTTTTAAAGTTGCTAGCCACATTCCCCTTCAACCGATATTCTGACCAGCTGCCCACATCTGCTCCTTTGAATCCCTTCCATACGCTTATCTAGTCATCCCTAGCGAAATAAATCTCCTTTCTTGAGATTGCTAACATGGAGACATTGAAAATCACTACATCATCCCAACAACCTCAATTTCTGTTGTTATCCTATTAGCTCTCCCATTCTCCAACCTACTTGCAACTCCAAGATGACACAATTAACATCCCAACCAAATAATCTTCCTCCTAACAGCCTCTATCTGTAAAGATCTTATTTTCATACTTCTGAACTCTTAAGAACTAACCGCAACACCCACCCACCCCCCCCACACACACACAAACAAACAATAGTATCATCATTTTGCTAACAATCTTTCCGACATGATACAAAGGTTTGTATGTCCTCCGAGGGATCAACCAAGAAGGCAACTAATTTCTTGCAGCAGCTGTCATGTCTGCCAAAACATTTGGCAATTGGTTCCATGAATTTAAAAATACAATTGTATCTCCGCTTTGCATTACATGCTTGGGTGTTCATGCTGATTAATGAATCAATTATGGCTGATGCATTTCTCCCAAAAAATAAATATTCTAGACACCTAGCGATAATGCACACTAGGAGCATCTGATGCTATAATCTTAAGTTGATACAGTTATGAGTAGCAGTAAATTCAAAAATCTTTCCTTTTATATTTTTTTACATTTCATCTTAACATCTTCGTGTTGTATATGTGGCTTTTAGAGCAGGTTTGCTGATGCGTTACTGCGAGAACTGGCAGGGGTTATCATCCCACCTGAGAGGATCTATGGATTAGGAACTGGGTCAGTAGAATTTGCTGCTTCTGTTTAACTTTTAACAGTGACTTATGTAGCGCTTGGATGTGTTCTTTATCAAGGATCCTTGTTGTTTTTTAGGCCAAAGGTAGAAGTGCTAAAAAAGATTCAGCTTATGCCAGAGCATGAGGGCTTGATGCTCCAGTAAGTTATTTTTGGCAATTCATAGCACTCACTTTTCTTTATACTGTGGATATAATTGTCTCATATTTCTGTTTCAAATTATGAGTAAAATAAAGTTTGGAGTATAAATAATAGTTTTTGACATAATTTTTATTATAATTATATCAAATAAAGTTTAGCTTTAATTTTTAATTTAATTATTTGGTAATGATCATATTTCTGAATTTATTGTACGAGTAAAACAAGTTTGGAATATAATAAGTTTAGAATCAGTTGGAGTATATTTATGACATAATTTTAATTTTAATTATATCAAGTATGATTTCATTCTAATTTTTAACTTTTAATTTATTCTTTTCCTGATGATGAGCTTTTTATTTAACATGGATTAGCATTTCATCATTTGATATTAGGCATTTATTGGAAATTATCAAAATTGAGAGGACAAAAGAGTTATTTAATATGGGTTATATTATTATTATTAAAAAATAATATGGGTCAGTATTTAAACCATTTGATAATGAACACTATTGTGAATTATCAAAATTAAAAGGGAAAAAGAGGCAATAAATAATTTTGATATAGCAATCCTATTTTATTAGTATAGATTTCAGATAGAAAACTACTGCATAAAGCAAATTCATTACTTTTGGTTTTTGTCCTCCTGCTAGACCTTAGATTCTCTCTTATTTTTATATTATGCCCCCAAATCTTTGTATTTGTAATTCACACCCCAAAATCCATTAAGTTTGTTTTATTGTATGTCCACTAAGTTGTTTTCAATAATACCCCCATTTCGAAACAAATATGAAGATTTGGTGATTGGGGATCTAATATAAAAATACGATTGAATTTAGGGTCCATTATGGGAAAAAACATAGCTTTTAATATAACCAGCTCATATCATTGCGTCTGCTTGCGAGTTCTGTTACATTAATCCGAAATAGTTTTGAATGCAAAGCACGGTGATATTTATATTATATTTGCATCTTCTCTCTAATGGTGGTTTACATTTTTTTTTGGTTACCCGAGTTTTCCTCTATTATTTATAGGTAGTGGGTGAATGGTGTTTATGAGGTGTAAATGGGAAGAATTTAATGCGACATTGTAGAGGAACTCCTAAATGACTGGTCCAGGGAGACAAGGCGTCTATATTGATGTAGACAAACTACTTTGTCATGCTTTGTATTTTGAAAATGTATGAATGCCCATGAAAATATGAGAGTTTCTGCCTTAGCACAACTGTAAGGTTGCTGCTTTGTGAGCTGGAGGTCATCGGTCTTTAGGCTCGGATACTGCCCCCATGCATGCAAAGGTAAGGTTGCGTACATCCAATCCTCTCCATACCCCACAGTGGTGAGATCCTTGTGCACTACGCCACCCTTGTTGATGAATACCCGTGATAGGATGAGAGTTTCCATATGTTATGCATATATGCGTATGGAGCACTTTGGCCTGTGGATTTGCTGAGGGGTGTCTTAGTGATGATGCTCAGCAGAGAAATCACTGATCCTAAGTGCAATATGGTTAAAATTTGCATCCGTTATTGAGTAATCTGTTACCGCATCTATGAAGAACTTGTCTAAAACAGGGAAGGATAAATCAGATCATGCAGAATATAACAGGATTATATGTAATGGCCAAAAGTAAAGGGCATGTCGAGGGCAAGAGTACAAAAGCAACGTAGAGTTCCTCTACTGATGAAGTTCTTTAATATGTTTCTTTTAACTCTCTTAACTGCCACAACATAATCCTTCTATTAGCTTTACCTTTTATACGTACACACAAGCATCTTTTCATGGAATGCATGATCTACATATAACCTGAATTTTCCCCCTCACATTCACTTTGCTTCTGATGTCAGCTTTGTCGAAGATCGTCTTGCTACTTTGAAGAATGTGATCAAAGAACCAGCATTAGATGGCTGGAACTTGTATCTGGGTAAAGCTCTACTTGTACTTTTGATGAAAGCGGCTTATTTCTTTTGAACTCTTCTTAAATTAAGGGTTACTTGGAACAGGGAGATGGGGTTACAACACTGAGAAGGAGAGAAATGAAGCAGAGAGCATAGCAAGAATTCAACTTCTGGATCTGTCTGACTTCAGCAAGAAGCTTAAGTAGCTTCTCTCCTTTCCTTTCTGGTTTCAGTTATATATTTTTTGTGAAAATTGA